TAAATTTATTGCGATTAGTTTGTTTTTTCAATCTTAAATGTATTTTTATCAAGCGCATCTTTCTTTTCAACTGTATTTTTATCCGTGTTTACATCTATACTTTTAGCTTTACACAATATATCTGTACTTTTCCCCTTTTCTTAAAAATGTTTTAGTTCTTCTGAACTATTCAGAAATTAGTTAATATATCATATTAATTTGATATAATATCATCATATCGTATCGTTTTAGATAATAATAAATTGTAGATGCAGCCCACTACTATAAAAATTCATATTCTATCAGCTCCTGAGCTGGTTGCGGTTGTGAATAAAGTTTTGCGCTGTTGAATGAGGCGATCTGCGAACATGAAAAAAAATATTAGATTCAGATATAGGTTATAATATTGTCTCTGCATTGATTCAATACTTAGAAAGTACAGGTTTAATATATAGAATATAGTATAGAATATAAAATAAGGAAGTATATAGGAAATATAACGGTATGAGTGTGCAAAATGTATGTATGTGGACAGGTATGGAAGTGGTATAAGAGGAAGTGCAGAGTTAGGTTTATTAATATGAATGTTAGCAGAGATGCTTCTCTTTCTATAGGCTGCATGATGCTGGAGGTGCAAGCAGAGGAGATGAACACGCAGCTCTGCTTGGGCTTCTGGAGAAGGGACTCTGTTTTCCTCATAAACTTTCCTCAAAAAGGAAAATGTTTCTGATCCGAGTCACCAGCAGACAGCAGTAATGCACAATGATAAGTGCGGTATGCCAAAAAAGAAGAAGAAGACGAGGCGATCTGCGCATGCGTCGTTGTCAGCTTTTCTCGCTAGCGGCGCTGATCTACTCACAACCGCTCGTTTGAGAAGTAAAATATTTGACATATTGTTATAATTCCCTAACGTTTCTGATCGTTATACGAGAGCCTTCGACGTCGTTTAAAGAACATGCCGAAAAATAAAGGTAAGGTGGTATATAAAGATACCCGTGTGAGATGTTAGCATTGAATTTAGCACACATGGTAACGTGAGTTATTGCGCGTGATATTGAATGTCGCAGTTTATTGTCAGTGTTTGATGTTTAATTGTGGCAGTTGAATTTGTTTTTGGTTCTGTATTTGATGCATTTTGGTTCATAATATGAAATAAAAGCTGCTGTCAGGTAATGTAAGGGATGCGTTTGGCCGCTATGTGTTGTGTTAGGCAGGTAACGTTACTTATGGATAGTAGCGGACCAGTTAAACGTATTTTGATCTTTACATACTTATAAATTATTAGATTTAACTATTAAGCTCATATTTGTAAAGGGGATCGTACATGTTAAAGTTAAATACACATGAAATTAACAATAGTTTAAGATGTCATTGTAATGGGTATTCTGTTGAATGGGTGTACTTTGCTCAGTCATTAGGCAACACTTTGTTATTGTCATAGGACTCTGTAGTGTGTTAATAAGATGGCATTTTTCCAAGTGTATGGTGGTATCTGAGCGCATTTTATTTCTCTGTATCCAGGAAAAGGAGGAAAGAATCGGCGACGTGGTAAGAATGAGAATGAATCTGAGAAAAGGGAGCTGGTGTTTAAAGAGGATGGACAAGGTGTGTTGTAATACTCTTACGTATAATGAGCGTTCATGATGTAGGGCACTGCCTTCTCTTCAAAACATGATCTGCGTTTAGTTGTATAATTTTTTTCTTCTAAAAAGCTTCTTCTGTCTTCTAGAATATGCTCAGGTCATCAAGATGTTGGGAAATGGGAGATTGGAGGCCATGTGTTTTGATGGAGTCAAGCGGCTTTGTCACATCCGAGGAAAGCTCCGGAAAAAGGTGCACTTTACAGATCCAGTCTGTGAAGCTTCAGACTGAATGCAGATTCAGCATTTCCATCACTTTGTGAATGAGATTGGTCTAAACATTTATGTCGGTCCACACAGCCAATCAGTCAATATTGTTTGATGAAGCTAACTAATGTAACTCATTTTAGCTATGGAATTTTTGATATGCTGGAAAATTTTAGCAAAGGACAAAATGTTATGAAATGAATTTTGTTGTTTTTTAGCTATGTTTATTTTATTCTTTAACAGGAATAATTACTAAGATGTTTGTCTTACTCAAGATCTTATGTCTTTTTTTCTTTAATTTAGGTGTGGATTAACACATCAGACATTATTCTCATTGGATTAAGGGACTACCAGGTTTGTTAAATATTTCTTAATATGTAATTTCATGTAATATTATACATAATATAGCTATAATTAAATATGATTTAATATTTACACACTTTTTACTATAATAATTGACTGGCAGGTATGTTCAATATTTAATATAATTATGTATTGTAACATTTTGTTAATTGTATACCTTGTATAATTTATTTAGAGATCGCCATGAAAATAGCCTTGATGCTGGCATGGTGTTAAAAAGTGAATAAATATGTATTGTAATACTATTTTAAAAATTTAATAAAAATAGAATTGTTTATGCTCACTGGATTAAGGAGTTATCAGGTTTAAATATTTATTTTAATATAATTAATTATATACTAATATAGCTATATACAAAGCAAATAATCATATTTTGTGATTTTAATATAATTAAATATAAATGTATTAGGAATGGAATATAAATGTCATTTGTTTGCCTGGAAAGAAATGAGTTTACAGTATTTAAAAGCTTTAGTCTTTCAGTTTAAAAATAAGATTCATGCTGCTGATGAAACTACAGTTCTTTTATGCACAGGCTTTTTATTGGAGTGAATATCTGACGTTTTAAATTCTGAAATGTCTTATCAGGATAACAAAGCAGATGTCATTTTGAAGTATAATGCTGATGAGGCTCGGAGTCTGAAAGCCTATGGAGAGCTGCCAGAACACGGTGAGTATATTTATTTTGAAAAACCTGGTTCTTGATGAATGGAGGTTCTTGGCTTACAATATGCTGATCTTTTTGCTGCACTGTATTAAATCCCTTGGCATTAAATTCTTACGGTTGGTGCCTTGCAGCCAAAATCAACGAGACTGATACCTTCGGGCCTGGTGATGACGACGAGATTCAGTTCGATGATATTGGTGATGACGATGAGGACATTGATGATGTTAGTACTAAAACACTCTTATATTCATCTGAAGTTTAAGATTCATTTAAAAACTCAATGTTTTGATTAATTGAAATGGAGACGTGATGTAAGTAGTAAGTGCATCAATCAGGGTTTTGTTCTGACAATACCATGTTCCTTCCCCAGATCTAAGAGGAAAACGCTGGGAAGTGAATGTTTCTCAACCCGAAGCGACAACATCCTCACATCCCCCCTGAAGTAGCCCCTCCATCATTATGTACACAGAGGCTTAAGTTTTAGGTTTCTCTGACTAAACACATGACTGCATTGTCACCTTCAATCCATTTTGTTATCTTTTAATGTATTTATATTGATTTCACATCAAGTGGAATTTAGTTACAGTACAGAATCTATGGATTCGCAATAAAAAGATAACCAATTTTATGTTTGGTCTTGCAGTCTGTATCCTAATAGACATGTTTACAAACTCTGTAAAGGTGAGTGAAACTCTTTTGGTAAAAGCTGATACCTCTAGAACGCCTCTTGTCTTTTTGAATGTTTTTGAAGTCTCTTATAATTTACTGACCACACAGTGATGCATTGGATGATGCATTTATTCAGAAAGCCTATCTGATTAGCTCTTTGTTTTAATCCATCCTAATTTTCTTTTGTGTTTTTGTCTACTTCAGATGATAACAATTGAATACTCATTTTGCAGGGCTACTGAATTTATGAAAGTAACTAACCTTGAAGCTCTATGTATTACTTCACAGTTGTTACTCAGAGTTACAACGTAATAGCTTGATACTAAACTACAGAAAACATCAGCAACTGAAATATTTGTAAGATGAAAATGGAAACATTTTTATTTTACTTTCTAAAATGATAGCTTACAAAGCAAATAACCAGAATAAGGAAGTATTTTTGTATGCAACATGCAAATGGGCTAATCAATGCAAGAATTATGAGAGTTTATTGATTGTGTTCTTGCAGACTGGCCCTTTTGAATGAGCATGGTGGTTGTTGGTTATAACTTGTTAATTTTAGGTGTATTGTTTTGATGAACTTATGATGGTTGCTTTTTGTCCTCTGCTGCTTTTGATCAGAAAACCTGTGATTTTGAAATAAAATTCAACAACATTCAAAATCAGTCATTGTCCTATTTTTTTTTATTATTTGTTATCCACCAGGTTTCTTCATTTTGTTGGAAAACCGTTTTTACCTCCAGTATTTATGAAAAGTACAATCTTGTAATATATTGTCTTTATTGTTGCAGGTGTTTTGGATTATGTGGGTATAAAAAATGCGCTATATTTATAGTAAGTGTGTGTCTAGCCATAGGCTTGAGTGATATTAGTCACTGTGTTTCGCCCCATCACGTGTGTTGCAGTGTGAAAAACCAAGGTAGCCTATAGCACATGCGTCTACATGCTCAGACAGATGTTAACACATACTTGGAGGACAATACTGTAGTGTGAAAATAGGCCATATGTTCCATAATGTCATATTTGGTTTGTGGTTAAAAATGTCTTTTACAAAAAAATTAAATCTCACACTTCTCTAACTGGCTGTCTGCACTAGAAATAGTCTTTAGAGGATCTGATTGTTCACATTTTGCATGCATAGTCTTTAGAGGATCTGATTGTTCACATTTTGCATGCATATATCTAGTCCAGACATAATCCAGGCAGATATTTGAGCAGTCTTTACCTCTCAATTATAAGACAATGCCAGATAAATGGCATCCTGTGTTTCCCTTTGTGATCACTAAAGTAGGCTATGGTTATATATTTCCATGCACGTTTAATTAAACGTCTCTAGGGGAAATAAATGGGAATTTCTGCCCTGTGCTCAGCTGCTGAGCTTTCCATATATACCGCTATGTAAACTATGACGTAATGCGTTGCTCGTGGGTGCATTGCTTACGCGCGCGTGCGCTCGGCGCTCGGCACGCGGCAATTGGTCGAGCGTGTTGTAATTTATTAGAACCTCGCGCTCTTGTGGCTCTGCCTTCAGCCTTCGCTAGTAATATCTGGTCGAAGACCGAGATGGTGTTCGGATGAATAAAATCTGAGGTGAAACTGTGTTTAGTTTTTCGTCGCGTTTTGGTTTTTTCAACTTAAATAGTGATTGATAAATAAATGTAGTGAGACGGAATGTCATCTGGGTATTGATCGTTGGAAAACTCCCATAGATCAACTGGAAATGGCCACCACCGTGGAAAACCTGTCAGGTACGTTATGTTGTGTTATATTTTCATTCTTTAAAAAGAAGCCTCACCCAGATTTGACAGTATTGAGGAACGGATAACTGGGAAAGCGAGCTGTTGTCATGGAAACAGGCTGCTGAGGTGAGAGGAGGATGGGAAACCAAAGACTGACCTGTCCAGGTGAAGAGTGCGTAACGTTAACCCTTAAATATGTTTTTATTTTTATTATTATTAAAAAAGTGTGACTATCATATAGGGAATGAAGACCGGGACTAGTTGTCACACTGTTTATGCCAGTAAATTCTTCTCCGAGTTGGTTAAATTTCTATTCATACACACCTTAATCTCTACTACACAAAAAAGGCTATTGAACATATACACTGTTATTAGAAAGAAAGATGCAGGTTGTTAAAACACGTTGATCATTTGTGACAGGACATGTTGTTAGGCTACATTACATGGCGCAAATCTGTACTTGCCATTATGAAGCCTATTACAGGCTTTTCAGCTAAATTTACACAGTAAAACGATCATGAAGCATAAAACAATTCAAGAAACAGTAAAAAATTATCAAACAACTGTATTAGCAGACAAATTAATATATTGTGTAGCATTTAAAATAGCCCAGAAGTTAAAATTAAAGACCATTTACAAAAATATTTGAAACTAACGTACAAAATCACTGCGTAGAAAACGCATCTAATTGCACTCAAAATCTTATACAGTAGTTACAAATATACATTCTATGTGACAACTAGCCCTGGTTTGCACTGCAAGCTATTTATAGCTCTTTTTTAACAGACACATCAGAATAAATGAGTTTGATATTGGGTTTATATATTAGATTCTTATGTTTATTATTGAAAGATTCCTATAATGATTTAACAATGCATACTGTCTGATATAAATGCCCTTTCCTTTAAAAACAAAGCATAAAAATGTGCTTTGTCAAATGTGCTTTAGATTTGAAGCTAACAGGGATCTGACAGACTGTGCCACTGGCTCTGCTGTGAATGGTGGAAAATCACTTTACGAAAAATCGCGTTTGTGTTCCCTTTGAGCATTTTGACTTTGCATATATTTGCATACCATTACACAATTAAAGCCAATGTTTTCAGGACTATAACCACCATAGACATTTACGGGCTTGAATATTTGGTTACACAAGAAAAAGATTGCACGGACTCCTAAAGGTGTGTTCACTGTTTATGTGCATTTTAACATTTGTTTCCTTTCTCATGCAAAGATGGAGGCTCGAAGAAAGACAGAATTCGACTGGCCAAAGAAAGAAGAGAGGAGAAAGATAAGAGCCAAGGTGAGCTGCAAGTCTTTTATTCAGTTATTACTGTCAACAACTAAATGATATGTTCCTTTCAAAATTGTCTAAAACATTAGCCTGCTTTAGAACCATGTTTAATTCCTAAATGGATTTCATGGCAATCTTGTTGATAAGTTAAAGCAGAGGGTTATTCCAGGGCAATAGACTACTGCTCCATTCATCACTGAATCCGATGGTGGAAGACTTCTGATAATACCACTAAGTGCTTAGCACAAATGAATCAGTATTGTCAGCAGGTAGGGAGAGGCTTGGCCTTTCCCGTATCAGGGCAATCTATAGACTTACCCGTGTCCACCCCCACTGTGTGTCTAGCTGTGCGGGAGCGAGCTCTCTTGGAGAAGGAGCAGCGCGCACAGCTGCAGTATGAACGCTCGCTGGTGGAGCGAGGGAGGCGTCTGGAGGAGCAGCGGCAAAAGGAGATGCTCCGTCGTTCCGCCGTGGAGGAGAAAAGGAAGCAGTGCATGGAGGAGGAAAAGGTCAGGGGTTACAGCCAAACTTTATTCTCTTTGGGGTATGCACTCAAAGGACAGATAAAGTATTTTTTCTCATACACCTTCTTATCTGTGAATTCTTTTATTTTTGGATTTGTTTTGTGTGTAATATTATGATAAAGTTATGTTTTTTATTATGCATAGTTTATTGCTGTTCATTTTCTTTCCCAGCTTGCTTAATCCTTGATGTGGTGTGTGTAATTTTTAGCTATTAAAATACTTAAACATACAGTTTTTGGAGTCAAAACAAATGCAGCAGATAGGGAAAAATATAAGTAATATGTAATACTGTTGAAAGTTTAAGGTCAGTAAGATTTTTATTTTATTTTTAATTTTTTTGAAAGAAATTAAAACACATTGTATAGATATATTAACATAATTAATACGATTAATACATTTATTGAGCAAGGTTGCATGAAACTGATCAAAAGACAGACATTTGTCTTTACAAATTTTAGAATTTCTCTTCATCATAACCTTCTATTCACCTAAGATGCCTGAATCGCAGTTTCCAAAAGTTACAAAAAAGTTAAGCTGTTTTCAACATTGATAATAATAAGAAATGTTTCTTGAGCTGCAGATCAGCATATTAGAATTTTTTCTGAAGCATCATGTGACACTGAAGAATGGAGTAATGATGCTGAAAATTCAGCTTTGCCATAACAGGAATAAATGACAATTTTAAATATATTCAAATAGAAAAGAGTTAATTTAATAATGTTACACAATATTCTATTATTGTACTGTATTTAATATTGAATAAATAAATAGCCACCTTGTTGAGCATAGGAGACTTATTTTAAAAAAAACATATGATAATCTTACTGGCCCAAACCTTTGAATGGTATTGTATATTGCTAGTATTTCATTATATTATAATCTATATCTATCCTAATTGTTGACCCCTTCGATCTCAAGACAACAACAAACACTCAACCAATAGTGTGTGAGTTTGGGGCGGGACTACGTTTTTGTCCAAACAATAGAAGATCTAGGGAACATTTGAGAAATCGGTTTGGAAACAGTTATTATCTTTGAATTTGTGCTGATAGCACAAAAATTACACACATCATCTTTAAGCCAGAGCAAAAATATTATTATTTTTTGAGGTGTAGGAAATCATTCCACAATTTTTCATATGGTAATATGAAAGCCAATACATTGTAGTCAAACATCTTGCATTGGTGGAAAGAAACAGATTTGAGTTGAAAATATGAAAAAAATTTAATAGCTGTAGCTATGTTAGCTCAAGATGTCCAATTTGTCATGGTGACATCACACATGTTGACATTTTTACTGGGCTCCGGTTAGATTTTATAACAAGAATAGTTTTTGTAATCTGTGTGTAATTAAGTCTTTATTCCTGTTGAATTTAACCTCCTAGAGTTCCCACCTGAGGCCCAAACGCTGGACCTGGGGTGGACCTCCAGGAGTCTGCGAGGGTGAGTGAGTGTGCGCTTGCGAGGGCGTGGAGGGTCCCTTGTGTGAACTCCTCTCAGGGCCGTGGGGAGTGGGAATGGATGGAGAGATAGGAAAACAGGGTGTGGGAACTGCACTGCAGCCTTTTTGTTTTAAACCCGACTGGGATATTGACTAATACAGCAGCTGTGGGATGAAAATGCAACTGTTTTATGAGGGAGCTGCAGTGTGACACTGAGACATCGAGCTGTTGCTGATCGCAAGGTATCGCCCCAGTCGCACAAAATATTGCCCCGCCCTCTCCTGCTTCAGCCTCCTTAACCAATGACCCCGCTGCTCACCCTCCTGCCAGCAAATCCAGGAACGGTACTGACTTCCTGCTGCTTTACGTGTCATCCCCGTTTACTTCCCTAAAGATTCAGTCACAGTGATTCTGATGTTGTTGTTGTTGTGATGGTTTGCATGTGCATGAGATTTTACATAGGTGTATGTTATATGTGTGCTAAGATTTATACTACCATTCAAATGTTTGGGGTTGGTCATCATTTTTAATGTTCTTTTTTAGGTTTAATGTGAAAGAAGCAATTATTTCAAACAAACAGTCATTTGATTAAATATTATTACAATTTAAGATGTTTTAATATATTTTACTATATTTGAATGACTTGAGTAATGGTTGCAAAAAAACAGCTTTGCAATTATAGGAAGAAATGTTCAAAACTGTTATGCTGCGTAATATGTTTGTGGAAACTGATACATTTATTTCAGGGTTCTTTTTTAATAGAAAGTTCAAAAGAGCAGCATTTATTTAAAATAGAAATCTAAATAATAAAGGTCTTTGTTCCCGAATAGCCTCCTCCAGCCCTCACAGGTCTCCTTACAGGGCTTCACCCAGTAGAGCCGAGCGAAAGAAGGTTAGCACATCGTTCTACGGACAGCTGGACGACTCCAGCGCAGCCACAACCCCGAAAAGCCCTCAGGTCTGATCTGCATAGATGTGATCAACATTTTGTCAGATAACTCAGATATTTATATTTGGTGCAAAGCACAATGGGATACAACCCACAGAGGAGCTGGTCTCCTAGCAACTGCATTGCACAGATCTGTGCATGTCCAGTTTCAGTCATGGATTTATAGCCATGGATTTTTGAGGGGTTTGAATGTCCTGCAGAGGGTCTTTTGACAGATACCGTATGAGAAATATATCATTTTTTGGTATACTTCAGAATGTATTTCTAAAATGTGTACATTATATATCTTGAACATTCTAGAAGGTAAAAATGTTGATATTGGTGAAAATTGGAACCTAACATTATTGGAAGGGATAATTCATCCTTCATCTTATTCCAAACCTGTGTGACTTTCTTTCTTCTGTGAAACAAAAAGAATTGATAGATAGTTGAGAAACATTTCCCAAAATATCTTCTTTTATGATCCACAGAAGAAAGAAAGTCAAAAGACCTGAGCAAATCAGTGTCATTATAGTTAAATAAAATTAAATTAAAAACAATTAAAAAATGTTGTCCCTTGTAATAATCTAATTGTTAACTGAAATCAAATGCAATATAAAAAACTTAAACTTGTTTTATTTTGGCTAATTCCCAAGGCAGCATTTCTTATTTTCATTTAGTATAACTTAATGTACTAAAATAGTTCAATTCAATTTATAAAAACTATACAATACAGACATACTTGAAACAACAAAAACCTATAAAAAATTACAAATACACACAACAAAAATTTTTTACAACTTTAACTAAAATTAATTTGAAAGCAGAAAATATGAAAATAAAATAAAATTCAAAATAACAAATAATAGTACCATAATAGTATCTCTTTAATACTAAAATTAATAATTAATAAAATAAAATTAATAAATGAGGACAGAATTTTAATTCTTGGTTATACTATCACTTAATGCATTAGTCTTCATGAATGAACAATACTTCTGCTGCATTTATTAAATTTAGGCTGAGTTTGGCTGAGAGACTATTGTTCAGGTTTTTGTAGTTTTGTGGCTTTGTTAGAACAGTGAATTGGACAAATGCATAATTCTGGTATCTGTTTTGGGTGTTTAGACTGAGAAACCCGAAAAGAGCATCGCTCAAACCTTAGCTGACTCATCTACAAAAAAACTTGAGTCTCCAACAACACCCACCCGAAGTTCTTCTACCCGCAAGAACCCCAGCACACCGAAAAGGTTTTGTATTTTATCATATCATATATTATTACTTGTTGTCATTTATTTATTTCAACACTTTAGACTGAGTGTAGGCTATATTTGTTTTTTCTTTTTGTTTTTCATTTGTAATTAGATCCAAGTCCTGATTTAGACTGAGTGTATATTTGTTTTTTTGTTTTTTCATTTGTAATTAGATCCAAGTCCTGTAAGAGCCGCATCCAGTCCCCAGCCTCCCCGGGTCAATACCCCCCTTCCCCGATGAGGCACAGAGCCACAACGCCATGTTTAGAAAACAAGAGGTGGGAAGGAGAGGAGAAAGGGTCCTTGGAGATTAAAGGCTGCAGCACTCTAGAGAGAAAGACCTCCAGAACAGAGAAAATCACAAAATCTGCAAGCAAGGAATTTGGACATAATGCAGGTATTGTTTTTTTAAAGGAAAAGTTCAATATTCTGTCTTTTATTTATTTAGTATTATTTATATACAATTATAGCATTTATTATAATTTTGAACTTGCTTTTATTTTTTAGATTTTCACGTTTAATTTTAGATCAAGTTAAAATAATAGTCATTTTGTCATTTGTATTAGTTTATTTGTCAAGGTAACATTTCTAATTTTCATCTAATTTTCAAGTGTACGTTTTCTCATTTTTATATATTTTTATTATTTTAGCTTTATTTCAGTTGTACAATTTTAATAGTTTTAGTTTTAATTTCAGTTCATATTAACAATACTCATTCTTTCATCATTTACTATGAAGCTGTGCCAGTGGGATCTCAATCACGTGACGTGGACTAAGTGCCTCCTGTCTTGTGTTTCAGAGTCTCCAGTAACTCCCACTGGGAAAGCAGGTACCAGTGATGCTGAGGAGGCCTCCAGGCTGCTGGCGGAGAGACGACGACTGGCAAGAGTACAGAAGGAGCAGGAAGAAAAGCAACGCCTAGAAGAGGAAAGGTAGAGATATTGTGTGTCTCTAGGGTCTGTGTGTCACATTTATATGTTTGCTTCCGTATTATATATCATCATCTTCATGAATCTCAGGCTCAGGGCTGAGGAGCTCCAGAGGCAGCAGGAAGAGGAGAGACAGCGGCAGGAACAGGCAGCTCGAGAGGCAGAAGAGAAAAGACAGAGGCAGGAGGAGGAGCGCTGTCAAAGAGAGCTGGAAGACAGGCACCAAAAGGAACAACGCTGGAAGGAGCTCCAGGATGATCTGGAGAGACAGGTCAGAGGGATATTACAATGAATTACATTAAAATACAATTAATTAGATTAATTTTTCAAACGGTCGAAACTAAAGGTCTGAGACTGATGAAAATGTTATACATTTTTATTTATTTAATACATTTTTTAAATAAATACATTAATAATATAATGCAACATATTATATTATATTATATTATATTATAGTATTTAAAAAATTTTAAAAGAAAAAAGATCTATTACATTTTCAGCAGTGGTCTTAGATTTTTGGACCTCACTGTTTAAACAAACAAAATTAAAATTAAAAAATCTACATAATTTCATAAATACAAAAAGAACAATGAAAATGCACAAAAATAAAACTGACTCATCAAGACACATTCAGCATACTCATCCATTAGGTCACTGACTCAAACACGTGCAGCACCAATCTGTCCTGATTAATTATAATAATTGTTTAAACACTGGAGCTCAAAAATCTAAGACCACTGCTGAAGTGATTTTTTTTTTTTTTACATTTTTATATTATATTATATTACATTATACATTTATTAGATGTATATTTTTAGATTTATTAGATGTTTTATTTTTTTATTATAAATTATATTTATAATTAGAAATATATTATGTTGTCAGCAGTGGTCTCAGATTTTTTGACCCCGCTATTTGAGCAAACAAATTAATAATAATAAAAAAATCAAATCAAATCAAAGCAGCATTACATAAATTAAAAAAAGACAACTGACTCATCAAGACACATTCAGCATACTCATCCATCCAGTCACATGCAGCACCAATATGTCTTCTGTAGCTGTGAATATCTGTAGGGATGAATGTGATGTAGCTGGAGATGTGATGTGTCATGATGTTTGGCAGAGGGAGGAAGCAGTGCAGCGCGTTCATAGAGAGGCTGAACGGAAGAGACAGGAGCGAGAGCTTCTGAAAATTCAAGAGGAGCAGGAGAGACTTCAAAGGAAGAAGGTTCTTCTCTTTTCTGTGTGTTTACGTTTAGAATCAAGCAATACATGGAAAATGTATTCACATTGACACTATTAAAATGATTATGCAATGTAAGGTGCAATATAATGAGAAAAGTTTAGTGGTAAGTAATTTTGAAGTGGTAATCTCTAAGGGCTACTTATCTATGCATAGATTTATTTCCTAATTAAAACTTAATTTAAACTTTATAGAGTGTGCAACAGAGCAGCTGAATCTGGCTGCATGTAAAGTCAACAAGAAATGGTGTTTGCAACCCATTTGTAATTGAAATCTTATCATGGCAAACGAGATATTCAAGATGTATTTAAATAAAAACAAAGCATGACTTGATTTTATACATTAGGAAATGATTAGGTGTATTTTATATTGTCTGGTATGTGTTAAGTGTTGAAAAAATAATCAAAACAACATCAGAAACGACTTACTTTGTTGCTTTGAGATTATGTTTTAATTAAAGCTTATTATGTATGATGTTTGCATCTTTGATTTTGGCAGCGTATTGAGGAGATTATGAAAAGGACAAGAAAACCGGATGGGGAAAAGGTAAATAAATTCTCTGCAGGCCAATTAAATTATCAGATGACAAAGATTTACTGACTGTAGCAAATAATATTGCATGTCATGTTTGGATAGAAAGAAGAGGTGCAGATGGAAGTCCCATCCCCCATTTCTGTTTCCCAGTCCATCTCACCGTCTCCTTTGGAAACTGAAGGTATTGATATGACCTGTGTATCATTATACAGTTCTATAGTGAGCATGTGTTTAACCCTCCCTTTCACTGTATTATTTCACTCAAACACACATACTCATTATTAGTCTTTTTTTCTTGTAGCTGAGTGACTCAGCATGTGGAAATCTATTTTGTCTGTAGAAAAAAAATATAGCGCCATCAAGTGGTGTAATTACGAACTGAAATTAGTTTGTCATCTCAAAATAGAATGTTGATAATCTGGTAAAATGCTCTGAATTTTTTTTCTTTTGGATTAAACTACATTAATCTTACACAACAGGTAACACAGCGATTATTAGTCCACCAAAGGCAAAATCTGAGTACCCAATCATATGCCTTGAGCCACTGGAGGCAAAGAGCTGCGGGGCAGATGATCTCTCGGATGGGGTTCAGTCCATGGATGTCAGGTTAGCTCCAACAAAGTCATGCCACGTTATTTCAGAATAAATAGGTTTGATAACCACATGCCAGTTCCTGTAATAAACCAAAATACTTGTCATTGCAGTCCAGTGTCCAGAGACGAGCTCGTTCCAGAATATTCCCCCATCAGCGAGATCTCACAGAACAGCATGACTTCTGTGGCTTTGGGCGATATCCACATTCTGACGGGGCAGGTCTCGCATCCCAAAGTGTCTGCTGCTCCAGCTTTTGGTGACTGCAACAAGAACCTGATCCAGGATTGCAGTAGCGCTGCTATTGACTCATCACTTTTCCAGAGTCTCAGACAAGTCTCAGACTCCTCAGACAAGCTCAACATCTAATGCAAAGGTGATTGCTAAGTCAAAGGTTTTTCATGAGGGGATTTTGGATTTCTTGTTATCACTCCATGAATCAGAAAATTCTGTCAACAGCCAGATTTTTTTGCCATATTTTTGGGAATAGAATGTTTTATAAAATCAGGCAATTTGTATATGAACAAACCCCTCTGTAAAAACCATCAGAATATAGATAAGAATAAAACTGTACGGTCTGGTGTGTGTGAGTGCTGCTGAAGTGGAGATTTCTGACTCGGTGAATGAGAAAAAAAAAACTAATTTTAAGAAAACAGCCTTTAAAATATATATTGTAATTGAAATCTAGAGACACAAATAGATAAAGTGCATTAAAATTAATACTTAAAAATGTATTTTGGATGTTTTCTTTTCACTAGTCTGAAACAACATGCTATGAAAAGCCAAATACCCCAAAATCTCAAAACTGACCAAATGTTTTTGCCTGTAGTGTCTTGCCTTAAATGGACAGTTCACCCAAAAATGGAAGTTCTGTCATCATTTACTCACCCTCATGTTATTTCAAACCTGTATGACTTTTTTATTATTCTGTGGAACACAAAATGACATGTTCATGAGATCAGTAGCGAAGTCTGATTCGTGAATGAATCATTCAGACTGATTCATTCATGACTCAAAAGAACACTAAAGATTCACTAATTGGCCATTTTCATTGTTTAAAGAAACTCAGGTTTGAAAAAATGATAGTGAGCAAATGAGAACAGAATATTAATTTTGGGGGTAAGCTATCTCTTTAGTTTAACCATCTCATATTTGTTGTCTTTTCTGTTTTAGACACTATTGAAGCATGGGGCTGGAGTGCACAGATGAATTGGAGTTGAGCTGAAAGATGAGAACAGCCCTTTGTGCCTCAGCAGCTTCCTGAATATCCTCTAAACAGAAGAACAAGGACTGAATGTCAAATAATGTGTTAATAGCAAAGAAGGGACAACCTGACAGTTGATTCCCCCACACATAAAATAAAGTTTGCCTGATCTTCGTAGATATTATATTTCACACCATTTCAGCTTAGTATCACCAGACAAAGCAACTGTATTAGCGCAGTCCTAGTGGTCTTCTTATTCTTGTTATACACCTGTAGCATTGAAGAGTGATACACCGTGACAATTGTAGCAGCTCCATTGTGTAATTTGTTTTATTTTGGGTTGCATAAATGACCAGCAAACCTAGCAGTTATGTGCTGAGTCTGCTAATTGTGCTGTACTGTATGGCTGGGGTTTGCAAACAGTATATTGTGTAAATCCATTACTTCTCCGCGTCGTCTCTGCAATCCAAGCTTTGTAGTCTGAAAGTGGATATGAATAGATGTAAAGTGTGATATTATTCCACCATAACACTGTTATACTGGCATTAATGTATTATTAGTCAACAGCAGTTAGACGTTATGGGGACGTATACAGAAAAAAAGTGTACTTCTGATGTAATTTATTGTGTAAAAGTTTAAAAAGGGACTTAAAAGTGCACAATTTCATTGTGTTAAATAGCATAGTGCTTTTAATTCTTCATAGACTTTTTCTGCATTGTTTTGTTATATGACATCATTGCACACAGCTCTATGCAGATCAAGAAAACCAAGCAACCATAAGAGCAACACAAATCAAGGTAATTCAGCGTCCATACAAATGTACAGCAGTGACTCAAAAGATCTGTACTTCCTGAGTATGTTGCTTAAAATACTCTACCATCTTGTATACTCAGGGTGCTAGTGCGCTTTGCATGCGAGTTCAGTTCCTTTGATGTTTGGTGGTGATATGATGCTGTAGTGTAAAACTTCAGATGCGCTGGATTGCTCCAGGACCAATAAGAAACAAATTTCTTGAAAGATGGAAGTATCTATCTGTCTGTCTATCTATCTATCTGTCTGAACTTGGGATGTTGATTACATTTTTGATTGTACAGAGAGCGATGGGTTAATACTGTAATTCAGCACTTCAAAATTACATTTGAGAAAAGGTGCATGAATCAGCTGCTTTGAAGTTGCCGAACCTTGAGATAATGACATTACAATAAAACATATATCACACCGTGATCTTTCCTTATTTACAATGTATATAGTTGTACTGGTTTACAGTATGTATTTGCTTACATTATTATATAGAGCACATGCAGTGACATAATATATATGGGATACAGGGATATACTGTAGCCTACTAGATACAGTTTATTAAAAGCTTGATTACCAATAGCGGAACATGTTGTCACAGTGTATAATATAATATAATATTAAAAAATATAATATAATATATAGCCAAAACAATGGTTTGATATTTTTGTGTCACAGTGTATAATATAATATAATTTTAATGTAATATAATATAGCCAAAACAATGGTTTGATATTTTTGTGAATTACCTTTTACATTTTCTCTCTTTCATGAATCGTTTTGTTTCATGATAGAATAGATAGATTGATATATAGATAGATAGATGTGTTTATATTTGTATGTACACACATTTAATTAAATTACATATAAAATATAATTTAAAAATCATAAACTTCAACACGTTAACATTTAAAACACGTGCCAACTTTGAAAAATTATACAATTATAAGTAATCACAAAAAAGTTTATTTATCTGATGATATTAGAAATATTTGGTTAGGAGGATATTTCTGTAAACGTTAAAAAAAAATTATTTTTACTTAGCATTTCATAAATGAATTAGAAGAGAAACCAGATGTGTTATGTATTCAGGAAACATGGCTGAAACCAAATCTTGATTTTGTAATACATGGGTACACAGTGTTAAGGAAAGATAGAACTGATGGAGGAGGAGGGTGTGCTACATTTATTAAAATTGGATTGCCATATAGGTTACTAGAAGTGGGAGTAAATCAGGAATACATAGCGGTGGAGGTGTGGGAAAGAGGGGCCAGTGTCGCTTACTGTGAGCTGCTGAAAACGAGTCAGTCACTGATTCTCTTCCGGGTCAATCTTGTGTATGGATCGCTGGGTCTAGTTGGTCGTGTGAAAAAAAATACATATATCAACAATCCACCAATATTTGAGTCATCGTTCTGATTCTCATAGCTGTTTAATCTGTGATGTAAATCATTGTGCGACAGTTTGCTCCTTTCTTTCGCGAGAAACTGGTATTTTGGTGGACGCATCGTCTAGCTGTGTGTGGAAGCCGCTTCGCGGGGTATGTGAGGCTAACACTGACTAACGTACTATACCATTATTTACTGTTGTTTTATTCTATAAATTATTTTTTATATCAAAATGTGTTTCTCTAGAAATGTGCTTTATGCCATACTCTAGCATCATCATCGATTTTAGGTCATTTTGTGTTGCGCAGGCCTATTAAATGGATCATCTGAGAAATGTTGAGGAATATTAATTATTAATGTAACGTTAGTTAGTGTAATGAGTTACTGTTTCATTTGGAGTGCTTTTGAAAGCTCTTTCATTATGTATGAGCATTAAGTGGCATACCTCGTTGCAGTATTGATAGCATTTGTGTTTTCTGTCTGGTGCTTAGAATAGTTTAACCCTTAAAGTCCCCCTGTAATCCTTTAAAACTCATCTTTGATCATCAAAATTACATATTTAAATGTTTTTTTCTTGTGAAAATAATTTTCTCATGCCTTAAAATAGCTTGAATGCTACTCTACACCCTTGCCTCATTTACTATACGCGGATCTATGAATACGCAAATTAGCCCCGCCTCCACTCAGTCACACAGCAGCCAGCCATGAGCCAGCGCCTCCTGATCTAACGTTTTTTAAAGTCACCCTGTAGTCAAAAATGTTATCCTTTAAAACTCATCTTTGATCATCAAAATTACATATTTAAATGTTTTTTTCTTGTGAAAATAATTTTCTCATGCCTTAAAATAGCTTGAATGCTACTCTACACCCTTGCCTCATTTACTATACACGGATCTATGAATACGCAAATTAGCCCCGCCTCCACTCAGTCACACAGCAGCCAGCCATGAGCCAGCGCCTCCTGAGTCCTGATCCACTAACTGAACTGTAGTAAACGCGATTGGTTTAATTAAGCCATATGTGTTTGAACCAGAAATAAGCTGGTATGCTCAACGTAAGCCAGGAGACTGATGGCTAACTTCGTGAGGTAACATTATCTGTTTGCGCTGGTTCGTACCATAGACTGTATAAAAACATGGACGTAGTGTCCGTGACGTCACCCGTAGATTTTCCGAAGAGCGTTTTTGAAGCTCAAAAGAGGGCGGAGGCGGCCGTCGCCATCTTGGCAGCGCGTCAC